GGAAGACTTCATTGAACCTCAGAGGAGAAAAGTCCTCCTTATTTTATGTTTTCTTTGTACTAACTGCCTCTCCTTTTCACAACCATAATTTGCATTCATTCACATAATGATTTCAGTCAGGATCTCCCTATACCCATGAGATTATATATAGTCATCTCTCAGTATCTCCAGCTTGTGCCTCCACAGACTCAAACCAACTGTAGATCAAAAATATTTTGTTTAAAAAAATTGCATCCATACTGAACATGTATACAATTTTCTTATCATTATTCCCTAAACAATACAGTATAACAACTATTTACATAGCATTTACATTGTACTGTGTATTATATGTAACCTAGAGGTGATTTAAAGTATATGGGAGGATGTGCCTAGGTTATATGCAAATATTACACCATTTATTATAAAGCTCTTGAAAATCTGCATGTTTTGGTATACAAGGGGAGGTCCTGAAACCAATTTCTCATGGATACTGAGAAACCACTGTAATTTTATATAAGGCAGAGAAGAACTCTCTGCTTTTTTGTATCATTACATCATCAGCATGGCTTAAGATTTGTGCCTGGAACTGAGTACAGCTTAAAAAATATTTGTTGAATAATTGAGCCATGACATTAATAAGATAGTGTGAAATAGGTTTTAGATTCTGCTGGTCTCAAACTCAGTTTTGAAAAACTGTATACATTAATTTAATTATTGCTGAGGAAAAAATTACATTATATAGTCTCAAAATGTTGTTTCTTATGCTACCTTGTCAAACTGAATTCTTAACCTTAAAATACTCACATACCTATTTTTTTTACCAGATTATTATGGATTTTTCCACATTGCCCATCTTGCAAGAGATATTACTTTGGCTTTTACTTCAATGAGAATGCTCTCGTTCACCATGACAAGCCTATCCCAAGTATGACTAAATTCTACCACTTTTCCAAAATTGGAACCATGACATAAGGAAAGATTAAGTAAGCATTAATTGTTAACAGATATCATGTAAGTCTGTTAGAATTAACATTAAAACTGAAAACACATTAACCATGTTCAGTATCTTGTTTAGACTTTAAAATGCATTATAATCGGGCTGGAAATGCAGTCCAGTAGTAGAGTGCACATCTAGCATGTAGAAGGCCTTGGGTTTGATCCCCAGCACCACACACACACACACACAAATTATTGCACAAATGCTATTTTTTTTTCTGATTTACTGATACATGCTAGACATTGGTCAGTAAATGTGGGAAGAATTAGTGAGTGTTTTGCAAAATTTTAAGTTTTTTTTTTTTATTCCCTCCATGTTAAATATTTCGGCTGCCAGAAAAGCTGAATTTTGTTTAGCCTAAGACAATGACTAGAAAATTTTACTGTATGGAATAAAATTTCATAAAATAACTCCATTCTAGTATTTCCTGACTCTTTCATARCCATATTTACCTAAAAGGAAATTTAAAATGCAAATGACACCAACATTATTTATATATTTATTTTAAAGACTTCAAAAAATAAGATTATCTATCAAAAAATAAGAGATCTATCAAAAAATAAGATTAAACATCTTTCTTTTGAGAAATATATCTTGGTGAATTATCTCTGTAAATTKTAAGGCACAAATACAACTCCAGATTCTTTTTATTTTGGCATCTTACTGTATCTATCTTTAAACAGATGTGACACATAACAATTTTGGTTTCTTTCTGAGAAAATTAATTTCTGAAACGATCTTGTATATTATTTTGTGTTTCTAAGTATATCCATAAATCCTTTAAAATGTGCTATTTTAACCCTCGGGAAACTTCTTAGCTCTGATCCTACCACACTGGCCTCATGACATCACTTCCTTTATTGTAGATCTGGCGTGGATTTTCTTTCATTGTGTATTTGGCTCACTTACTGATGTGTTCTCTTCATCACTTTCTCATTTATTAACCCATGCAGCCATTTAATAAATATTTCCACATTTTCCACTCTATGTATAGTACACAAGGATGAAGGACAGAAAAGAAATAGAGGGCACAGTTTTTCAACTTGGGAGGGGGTGACAATAAAATATTTGAAATAAATAAAAAAAAACATAAGAACTGTGAGAATTCAGAATAAAGAAATTGTTGGCTGAGGCTTTTTCTCCCCTTAATTAAATGCAAGTAGTAGTCCTATTAAGAGACTGTCATTTCTGATGGCATACATTTTAACCTTTGCTGGAAAGTGATAAAAAATGCAGAAACTTAAAGGGAAAAAAAAAACGATGTTAGAGTAATTATATAATTTTAATAAAATTGTTCAACGAAATGCAGTAATTTCAAGGAATTTTATTTTATTTTTTCTGAAGAAGAATCACAGGATTGAAGCAAGTTTTAAGTTATACACATGTCCCTGAAGTGTTGAAAAACCTGTTCTCAAAGGGAGGATGAAATAAAATACTGCAAACAAAGTACTGAACTTTCAAGGGATATATCATTCCCTTTCCAAGATTCCACCCAGAGTTCTCTCATGCTTTTCTCTCTATTTCCTTCCCTAAATGCATTCTGACAAGGTATTTTAAAAGGTACTGCAGAGAACTATCAGGAAGCATATTTAGCAGTTTCATTGATGAAATCACTGGAAAAAGGGCCCAGCTTTGTATTCTATTAAAGAAAAATATTTGTAATATCTACTTAAAGCCCATCAGGAACTTGACAGTTGATTTCTGTCCCTTTGTTTTTCATTGTAAAAAAACAAAAATTGAATTTAYAGGTTTGGTTTTCTAAAAGTATAAAAACAAAAAAACAAACTTTAGCCTATAATACTTAAAACTTGATATAATGAGGCAACATATCACAGTTTATATCAGGGGATGGATGTTGTTCACATTCAATCATTTTAAAACAAGCTTTGAGTGTAGATAGCTATATTTGTGGAGAATATAATTTAACAAAATGAAGTAAGATCAAATCCACATAATGAGAATTATTTGAAAAGTGATTTCCTTTTGTTCTTGATTTATTGTTCRAATTCACTTACATTTCTCCAACTTCTTTATTTTAGTAGCCAAATGGAAATAAAAATTCATAACCAAATACAGCTTGGTCAATACCAGGTAAYTGATCTATTAGCAGGGACACACACAGTAAGGTTGACTTTTTCCTGAACTACAAATGACAATTGTAAGCCTTTTTTCCTCAATTTTTCCCACTCAGTAAAATGATATGTGAATTTCCCATCAACTTTTGTAAAATCACACACTTGATTTTTATAGCATTAAATATCCTGTAATATGTGCCACTAAAATAGAAGGTATTATTATTCACAGTCTGTGTGCACATATTTAGATTCCAAATCATGTTTAAACTAGTTTGGTGGCTTTGATTGACTACCAGTTAGTCTGAAAAGAAGAAGAAAACCGCAAAAGTTATTTGGCTGGTGACGATTTTTTTTTTTTTTTGACTGATCAAATCAGTCTAAAAATTCAAACCATTTAGATTAAAGGAGTGTTCTGTTAACTCAGAGAGTCAGGAAAACAAACAGAGCATTTCTTCAAAAATATGATTCTAGTGAGTGTTTGCTGTTGGGCTGCAAAACAAAAGAAAAACAAAACATAAAAGTGCCCCTTCACCCCATCTTTGGCATCCTTTAACATCAATGTCACTTGCTGTGATTTCTGCTAGGCAAGGAAAGACAGTGTCCTTTCCATCTCAGCACATTTGACAAGTACCGACACTCTGGGCATGCTGTACAATAAAATAAATACATTAGTAAGACCATTTCCCCCTTCATTTCAGCCCAGGCATAAGAGATGGGTTATTTAAAATTCAAGTGCCAGGAAAGCCCATTTTAAAAGGGAAATATTTTCAAGTGAATTCCGTTTGATCTTTTTTTATAGGGGCTCCTTCCAGCCTCTCTCCCTTCCTCCCCAGGCCCTGGAAACCAATTAGTCTCAGCACAGAAGCCACAGACCAGGTTGAAATGGCTCCATTTTATTTTTAGGGAGTATAATTTCAGCCAGGGTCTAGTCAGTTGTCACATAGTATACTTGGCCCTCTTCTCTCTCACACACATACATTGGATTTATCTTTGGAGAATGCAGAGATCTCTGGGTCTGACTTCTGGAAGGGAATTACCTCTGGTTGCCATCCAAATCCTTTAGCTCTGACAATGGCATAACATCACAAGGCAACCACATCTTTCACAGACAACCCGGCCAACCAAGTTTTCTAAAAATCTTCTCTCCCTTGTTTTCTTTAGCATTGCAGCCGGTTTTCCTTCCCTTATGACTTTACATAAAATTCTGAACATTTTCTCTTACATTTTCCAAAGTAGTAGAGAAAACTGGAGTAACAGGTCTGAAAATGCTTTTTAAGTGCTTACCTTTTGGGGAGGGGCAAAGTGCCCCAAAGACAAAAATGGGAACAATTGGTCTTTGACTCTCTTCACCTTACTATTCTGAACCTGCCTTAATTCATGGAGGTGAAAGGAGAGAGAGAAAAAAAAAAAAAAAAAAGATCTGTTGGGTTGGCCTTTTCTTTCTCAGGAACAACATGCAGAGAGAAAGGTGTGTGTGTGTGTGTGTGTGTGTGTGTGTGTGTGTGTGTGTGTGTTGATGATGATGATGATGAAAGGTTTAGGGAAAGGGAACACTGTATCTCCAGGAAAGCCTTAGCTTAGCAGATAGTAGGGAACCTCGGGTCGCCTTCCTGGTCTGAGCAAAGTGCCCCAGCCACTCCCCTTGCCCCCGCAGGGAGTTCTGCATCTTGGAGCGGTGCCAGGACCTCTGACAGTGCCTGGCGGGTCGAYGGGTGGGGGCCCCGGGTGTTCTTTTTGCAGAAGACGCCCATCTGGGGGGATAACTCCCTATTTTCCCGGCGCTCTGTAGCCCGCCCCACCTTCCCGTCCCCTATCATTTTTTACCCTGATCACACTCATGATGATGAACTTGCAGCTCAGCTTCCTGCAGCCTGCTTGACCCGGGAGCACCAGCAGGCTGCCGGCCTCGCCCTCTGCTCCCTCCTCCCCCTCGAAACCCGGTGGCCTCGGGGCGCCGGTGGGGGTTCGAGTGGGCCGGGACTGCAGGAGGGGCGTGCAGGGGCGCGGGGTCCCGCCGGGKAGCGCGCACGGAGCTGCGCCTCGGCCGCCCTGCTTCCTGGAGCTGTGCTCCTTTGACCCCAGTGGCAGTCCCTGTCACTGCACCGCTCGCGATCCCTCTGGCTCGCCGCGCCCTCGCTCCCTCTTCTCGCCCCCTCGTTCGCTCTCGCCCCAGATCGAGGCTGCTCGGGTCCTTTCTCCCCCCGCCTCCCTCTAGCGCCGCGCCCCCTGGTCCCCCGCCCCAGCTCGCGGCGGGACCTTCGGGGTCGAAGGTTCTGGCCCGCCCGCGCCCCTCGCCGCCCCCAAGCGCCCCCAGCGCTCTTCTAGCAAGCTCGGGCCGCTCGGCGATGGATCGCCTGCACACCGGGCGCTGAAGGCATCCCSGGGACCCGGAGCGCAGCCCGGGAAAGGTAATCCGCCCCGGGAAGGGAGGCGGAGGGCGGGGGAGGGGGAGGAGGCGGCCGGGCGCCCGGTGCCGAGCGCGAGAGGAAGGGAAAAAAAAATGCACACACAAAGCGGAGCCCGGGTGAGAGGTGCCTTGTCAGAGGCGCGTGCGGCGGGGATCGGAGGCTGCCGACCGCGGCTGCCCCGGTGCCCCTGACATTGGCCGAGCGGGCAATTCAGAACCTGGGAGGGCTTATTTTCAATCCCCAGGCGAAAGCGAATTCTTTTTTAGGAACTGTCTTCCCTCCTACTCCCCATCTTGCCCCTTTTCTCTTGTCCCCTCCCCCCAACCCTCGGCCCCCCGACCTCTTGGGGTCCCCACCTCACTGCCCCCTCCTCCGCCCGTATTTCTTAGGAGTGGATGTCTGCGAAGGACAGGGGCGAAAGCCGGGCAGCGGGGATGGGGGTGGGGACGAGGGTTCGGCGAGCTGTTTACTAGAAAGTCCTGGGGTTCATGTGTTCGAGCCGCCCCGGCCTAGGCCCGGGTGCATTGTGTTGGCCCGAGCCCCAGGCGCCCGCGGCGTTCAGAGGCCAGGTGCAGTGGCTGGGAAGGCGCCGTGCAGCTTTGTGCTCGGGCTGCGCCCCGCGGCCACCCCCCGGGGCCGCCCGCGCGCGCTCTGCTCTCGAGCGGGGCTTTTTCTCACCCTATCCCCGCGCCCCAACCTCACTCTCTGCCGCCGCCTCAGGTCTTCAYGATCGTAGCCTGCGGAGCGACCCGGCGACCCGAGCTGGGGCTGGGGCTAGGCGGCGGGGGACAAGAAAAAGTAACCGTTGCCGCCCGATTTCTTCTCTACCGAGGCTGGAGTTTCTTTGCTATTTACACGTAACAAGGTTATCTTTGTAAAGCCTTTGAATTGCAGGGTTTTGYGGCCTAGGAGGTGAAGGGGGCATTTTTCTGAAGGTTCGGGAGGGGGGTTGGAATCCATCAGCAAGAAAATAAATGATGCCTCAGTGGGGTTGATTTATAGCACGTTTACACCCACCCCCCATACACACACACACCAAATTAAGTGCGAATGCGGGTCATGAAAAATGTGTAATTGATTTGCGATGCTGCAAACAAATAAACACAAACAGGTCAGGGTGGAAAAAAAAAAACAAACAAAACTTTAACTGAAAAGAAAAGATTTCCAAAGAGGGGGGAAATCGGTGGCCTCCACATCCCCTTCCAATGCTCTCTGGCTCCCTCCTTTCTCGGTCGCTCGAGGAAGGAGCCTGGAAGCCCCCGGGCATAGAGCGGGGAGGCGGCGGCTACTTGGGGCTCGGGCTCCGCTCTGTGGGTTCGGGGATGCCAACGCGCCTGGGAGGCTGACGTCGGGGACGTGGGGCTGTGATGCCCCAACGAGGATGGCGCGGTGTCAGAACCATTGGCCACTGGTGGTCATCAATCAATCCGGGGCTGGGGAAGAGGGAGAGAAAAAAGACAGGCGCCCAGCGGACCCCGGGGCCGCGAGCGCTAGCGCCAGTAGTGCCAGCAGCGGCAGCAACAGCGGAGACGACGCGGTGGCAACCGGGACTGAGCGAGTAAGGCGAGCTGGTGCTTCAGGAAGGAAGGGGGAGCTGTGGCCCGGACCAGGCAGCCAGGAGCCGGGAGGGCAGGGCAAGTGTGTGTGTGTGTGTGTGAGCGCGCGTGCATGTGTGTGTGTGCAGTAGCTGAATCCCCTCTCCAACTGCCCACCCTCGATTTAAAACAAACAAACCAATCCAAAGTAGAGAATTCTGCGCCCACCCGCCCCACCATATATAGACTCCACGCGTTGTCAGAGGCGCGGGAGAAAAGTCTCGCCCTCCCTCTCTTCAAGAATGTGCCAGCCGGGTGTCCGCAGTGCTGGAGACAAGTTCAGGTGTAAGTGCAATGGGAGGGAGGGAGCTCTGTGGACAGAGGCACGTGGAACTCTATGTCAGCATCCCCTCCAGACTGGCGGAGGAGCCTTGGAGAAGGCATGTGTGCATCSCTCCCGCAAGCAGGGATGAGTAACTGGAAGTGGGCATAAAAGAGTAGAGGCGTGAGTCAAGAAAGCAGTGGATCTGTSGATCTGTGAGGCAGAGGGAGGAGAGAGCAAAATTTGGCGGAGTTGGAACTGGCGAGTTCCAAAGTCCCTTCACGCTGTCGGGCRATGTTCTTGGGGCAAGTGATTAAAATGAGCATCCTTGTTTAAACAAGGAAACCGCGGGCTCCTTTCTCATAGGCTTTGCCAGGCTGTGCAGGGGTAGAGAGGTCAGGAGTCGTTGCTTTGAAACTTTCGGTAAATTGGACTTCTGGTGTCTAGGAGGTGGAGACAGTTATTTAATTCTTCAGTTTTTAATCCCTGCACTGCCAGCAGACTTTAAGAGATTTTCCAAGTAGATTCCTGGAAAAGAACATTCCTTGTTGTATAGCGTCAGGGACAGGAGAAGTGACTGCTGTCTAGGAAATGCAAAATGTGCTCACATGATTTTTTTGAGAAAAGAAAATCAAACTAACAGCAGTGTGGATGTTTGGCAGTGTCAGTCCCTTTTAGGTTTTTCTTTAGGCGAATTGGCATTTTGTCCTGGGTGCCTTTGTTTTGTGGAGCAAATGTGTTGAAATATAAAATGAAAATTAAGAAAATACTTTCTCTGAATATTGTGGTGGTGTAAGCGTGAAGAGGGTGAGATGCACCAAAATATGGTCATTTGGAAGGTTTTGCTACATACATATATGAAGCAAGGTGGTGCAGCCTCTTGATAATTTTAGGTAGTAGTCTTCTTGCAAGATTTCCCCCAATTTTCATATGAAGAAAGGTGATTTTGCTGATTTTCCCTTGTCTGAGAGAGTTCACAAAAACAATATATAAAACAAAAAGCAAGCAAATAAATAGAAAACCCCAAATCCAATCTTTTCCTTGTGTTTGTGCTTAATATTCTTAAGATACGTTCATTTTGAGATATGGGTGGAGGTGAACATAGCATTTTTAAAAAAATAAGTCTTTTCTTGACTTGTCTGTAAAGGTGCTATGAAAGTTTTGAAGCTCTCTGCCTCAGTCTGACATTTTCTTCAAAGGACTCCAGATTAAAGAAGATAGACGCCGCAGGTGCACTGTTTCGATAAAGCATTTGAAAGGGAACATGGCAAAGATGAATTCAAATGAGGTGCCAACCACCCATTTAGCCCTTCAGAGTTCCAGGGGCCTGTGCTTGCTGATGAAAAGATGTTCTATTTGTCTTGCTGGGGCAAAGGTGCAAAGAGGCAGATATTCACTGACAGAAAAGGCAATCTGTAGGTTGATGTTAGGATGGAGAAGACTGTTTAGGAATGTGGCTTGATTGCTTTCTAAGTTCTGTCTCTTCTAGGTTTCAAATAAGAGAACTTGGGAGGGTATCATGCTACCCACTTCAAGACATTGCATAGAAATTTAAATGTTAAGTTTGTATATTTTATTTGTAGGCCACATTCTGTTTAATGAGTTTACTCCAGAAACATTTAAACTTTTTCTGGCACTGAGTGTTCCTCTGGGGTCACAGTGGTCTAGACATGAATTTGGTTTCTTTTGCCTCTGAATGTTCCCTATTTCACACAATAGACATTGATGGAAAGAACATAAGAATTGCCAAGTAATTTTTATACCACTCTCTAATTTATGCAAACACTAAGTTCTCGTAGTCTGAAAATGTGTATTTTTTTCCCCTCTGTGCTTTGATGGCTAACATTCTTTTTAATGACAGTCATTTCTATAACAGGAAGATGTTTTCATTTGTATTTACTTTTCAGCGCCACGCAATTATGCAGCTCTGCGCTTCAGTGGTGTCTCAGTACTTTGTGTCTCAAAAGAGAATTACAGTACTTAGAACAGGACTGCAATTTGAAGCAGGTGTTGTGTTTTACTGTTATGCAAAATAACAGTAAAATATAATTGTGAGGAAAATTAAGGAAACAGCTGCAAACTTGGTATGAAAACTGCTACATTATGATTTGTAAGCAGTTCTTATAGATATCTTACATCAGAGGAGCAGGCAAAGATTTTAATTTAGTTAATCCCACTGGCCTGGGTGTCTATCAACTGGTGCTTAAAGGAGTCATACCTCTCATGAAGTCAGGAGGAAGAAAGAGAACTCAAAGTGACACTGTTTAAAATGCCAGAGCACCAGGGATTCATCTCTTGGCAGTGCAGTTGCACGTTAGGAACACAGACAAGGTTTATTTAGATGGCTTTGCTAATATGAAGAAGCCAGTGATTTGAGTAGAACGTTGTGGAATTTCTTAGCCCAGCTAGCATATGGAGGACTACACAAGCCCCGGGTTGTAAAATAATAAAATAAATGGCCTATGGCAGGCCATCTGCCTTTTGCTCGATATTTAAGGTGTTTCATGCCAAATTTAAATCTAATCCTATTATTCTAAATATTTTTATTCGAGATAGCAGCTAAGATTTCTGGAGCTTAATGGTGCACATGGCAAATGTATTCTGATGCAGAGCAGTTAAAGAAAGAGTGCTAGTTACCCAAGGGTTACCAAAGGGAGTGCTTCCCACTTCTCTTCTGAACTCATCAGTTTTAGCAGCTTCCATGCAAGAATTTGCTTTCCTCTGTCTTTGCACCCTGCTGTAAAAATAGACGTCTTCATTTCTCAATCCAATGTGGCAACTAATACATGGACATTTATGAAAAGAATGAGAACTAATGGGATTTTTTAAAAAGATGAAACCAACTAGTGAGAATTATGCAGCACCAAGATGCAGTCAGGACTAAGCTCCCTCACTGGTCCATCAGGACTGGGAGAGGGGAGGTAACGAATGGCATCCAAAGTGGTAGTTCAGCCCCGATGGATGCCTTTGGCCTTTTCCTGAGTGAACCAGAGTGTTTAAAGAAACCGTACTACATTTAACAAGAAGSATTTACCTTACCATCAAGTTCTTGGCCAGAGAGAAATGCTTATGCATCCTAGGCATTATATATGTTGGGACTGCAAGTGAAAGAAAAGTCACGTGTTAACGTGTGAGTGTTAATATAAGTATTATAGTCATGCCCAGGTGTCTGTTATAAGCACAGGATTTTTATTTACATTTGTCATTGTGGTATATAGATCTTTGAAGCATGGAGATTTCAAGTGATTATGTGACACCAACTTTGTAAAGACCAAACATTCCAATTAGTGGGGAAGGCTTGGAAGAGTCTTCACTTTAAGCACAAACCATTTATAGCTAGACACCATGGCAACTGCGGATTTGCCCCTTCAGTAATTCACGTTAAGTGCCATAATTATAATTAAAGAGGAAATCTKAGGTTGAACTCCATTGAGATGATTTAGTAGCATCCAGCAATGTCAAATACAGTGTAATGTCCACTCTGAAGTACGAGCAGGGTAGAGAGTTGGGATCCGTGGTACCTACAAGGCAACAACATTGATTCACATTTTTCCTGAACCAATTTTGTGTCTAGATGTCAAATTTAATATCTCTGAGCATCTTATTTCTCTTTGTTCTTATTATATATATACACACACATATATATATTTTTTTCTTCTAGAAACACACAGCGGTATTGATGAGTAAATCCTTGGATTCAGAGGTTGGCTGAAACGAACCATGCCTGCTTCCATCTTTTGCTCCAGAAAGTTGTGAATTGCTCATGCCCATAGGGAGGAAGGATGGCACATGGGATTCCTTCTCAAGGCAAAGTTACCATAACGGTGGATGAGTATAGCTCAAACCCCACCCAGGCATTCACACACTACAACATCAACCAGAGCAGATTCCAGCCGCCACATGTACATATGTAAGTATTGCTCATGAACTTAAAAAAAAAAAAAAATTAGCAGTCAAGAGTATAGAAATAAAATAAGAAAGAAAACCATTCTCTTCTAGCATTCTGCTAGGGAGAATTAAAAAGTAAATGATTTACAGAACAGATGGGTATCTGTGGTTCCAAATACAACCCAGGAGAAATCCCTTACATCTGCGTAACAGTTCAAATTTTAGAGCACTTGCAAGCATAGTTTGACATTGGATATTCAAAGGCTTTGGTTGTCTGCATTTTGTAGATAACAGAGAGGTTAAGGTATTTTCTTAATGTTGCACAGGGAATTTTGGCAGCATCTCCTGACCCCTATTTCAGTTTGTTTTGCCCTGTATTATTTGCTTCCATAATGAAATATTTCTTTAAAATTTGTGTAGTTTTTTTTTTTTTTCCCACACCTCACCCCACTACCCCTTTACATTCAGCTGGGAAATAGGCCTAATTGGAACTAATTGTCCAGCTACTGCTAAATCCATTGTCTTGCCTGTTGCTAGTGAAACGTGTGCTGCATGCTGCAGGCCTCAAACAATACCGGGTAACAAAGGATTAAGGGACAGTGGAACAGTTGGTTCCAGGAATTGTACTTTTCTCCCACTCCCTAATACTGCTTAAGTCCTGGCTGAGGTTTAAACTGTTTAAGAAGTAAAGTGTGGGAGAAACCCAGAGGCAAGGATTTCGCAGCACCTGGTTGCACACCAACTCTTTTCTGGTCTTCTGCCACAGGATGTGCTGGGCTTTCAGCAGAAGGGGGCCAAAGGTCACCATCTCCCTTGTTTATTCAAGGCCTGGTGCTCATTCTCTATGAGACCCTTCCGATGTCTAACATGAGTCTTTCATAGTAGGACTAAACCTCTTTGAAAACTATTGTATAGTCAAGATAGAAGGGAGGTTAGGACTCTGTTGACTGTTTTTACCACTCCTGGCAGAATTGAACTCTGAGCATGTCCAAGTCACAACCTCCTTCTTTAGTAATTCTTTTATGTGGGCATTTACAAAGAGAGTAGAACTGCTACTGCCCCCACCCCACCACAAATCCTCTCAAATTCGGAAACACTAACCAAACATAAAGGCATTTCCCTTGACTACCTTGATATTAGTATAAATACTAGGATGTTGCTTTGTGAGGCTATGCTAAAGAGCCACTCAGTAGCCTATGATAAAATTTATGCAAAGTTGGAAAACTAAAACACCATGCCTGAATAATAAAGAAAAAAGAAAAGAAAAATAAGAAAAATCATTGCAAATGGTTAGTGCTAAACTATTTAAAAGAATGTTATACTTTAAATTAGAATTGGTTCACGATTATGAAGGATTACTAATGTGATTTTAAGGAAGAGTTTTTAAGGTGTATAAGATTTGTCTTTGTTCAGATGGCTTTTCTGAACAATACATATGTGGTCATTTCAGATACTCTTTTTATTCTGTTTCTATGCATTTGTCTTTCTTGTTTTTGTTCTGTTTCTATGCATGTGTTTTAAAATTTGTACAGCCCATATTTTTGGATACTTACTTTTAATTTGGTTTTGCTGGTGTGACATTGTGTATGAAGGAATCACAAAGAACTTGGTGAATCCTGTTTCCCATCTGGCAGGAGAAGCTATGATTTACCCAGATTCCTGGGAAATGACTTGACAGGGAGGCTCATCTTGGTCTTCGGGGCTGCAGACATCTGCTCACTTATTCTTGGTYGTAGATTCCACTGATGACCGATGAACGCACAGGGCTATTTTAAAATCACGTAACCTTAGAAATGATCTGCTTAGATCTAGCCATGAAAAATTGGAAGGATCAAATTATACTCCTTTTTTTGGGGAAAAAATAAAAGGCCTGAGAAATGAGATTTGCAGTGGCAACTTAGATAGCTGTGTAAGCCTTTTACCATACTTCCAACCTAGGAAGAGAGGCGTCTTCCAGAGGCTGGTTGCCACATGCCTTTTTTCTCTTTTATTACCAGTGGGTTTGCCTTCTTACACTCTGCTAAAGCCACTCAAGTTGTCACACTGACACCTGAGCACACCTGGGGTTCTCTACCTCTTCTCATAGGTACAATGTGTTTTATCTGATTATCATATGCCTCAAAGCCAGTGTAGACTCCTGCTCTTACATGAAGCCTCTTCTTCCTCTTTCTTCCTAATCCAAAATGACTGTGCCTACCCAACAAGACACCCCATTACTTGGCATTTATTTCATATGACTTGCATTATTTTTCTTCAGATCTCTTTCTCTCTCTCTAATTGGCTCATCTACATGATTTAATCCTTAAAGTGGGGATTGTACTTCTGAGCAGGTGACAGATGTTCAGATACGCTGATCGATCAATTGATTGGATTATGTATTGAGGTGAGAAATTGTGATTGATGCTTGGAGATTTTCATTGGAATTTTTCTGTCTTGACCTTTTGACTTTGTATGTGTGTTTTGTCAGGAAGTTGACTCACCTTTTCATTGCCTTTCCTTTTCCTTGCAAGAGCCTGCTTGATCTTGTTTTGCAGGCCTGAGGACCTGGCACTATGAGGGCCCATAGTAGATGTTCAGTTATCTTCATTGGATAGAATCATGTTATATTTCTGCACGTGCTATATTAAAGAGCATTGCTCTTAATCTAAATAGAACTAAAGTGGCTTGAAAATACATATGAAATATTTAGTCTAAAAACTTCTTCAATTTTTTTTTTTKWAAATTTCAACATGTTTTGGCAGAAATTTGCTCCTTTCCCTAAATGTATTTTGTCTTGTGCATTTGAGTGATTGCTCATTTATTTTGCTCAGGATTCTTAAAACATTTGCTTTTCTTTTTCACTTAACACCTGAGGTCTACGAAGACCTGTGACAGATGACCTAGAGTAGAGTTAAAATCTTGGCTGCTTTAATGGCCCCTTGTTTTCTTTTATACAAGTTCGTGGTGGTAGGTAGGGTTGTCTCATCTTAATTAAAGAATATCTCATTTCCCAATTAATTCAATTAGTCCTTACTCAGCTTTGTGACTGACCCTGGGCAATTGATTTACTTCCCTTCTCCAGGCCTCAGTTTACTCCCATGTAAACACGTGCACTGAATAACAGTTAAGGAACTTTTTTTTTTTTTTTTTTTTAGCTCTGACTTACTAAGATTGCAATTAAGACAGGGCTTATTTGCAGGTTGTTGCTGGGGTGAGGAAACAAAGCTAAAGAAGACTTGGTCCCCACGTTGCCGATCTCAGAGCTGCCATTTCATCTGGTTAGAAGAGGTTCTGGTTTAGTTTTTATGCAGTTTTTATTTCAGTTCTGACAAGATGGTTAGCAGGCTTTCTGAGAACCCTGGCCTTGAATCTGCTTGTGACATAGGGTAGGATTCCCACCCCCCCTTAAGAAAGCAAGCCTATATGACTTTGGAAAAGAAAATCAAAGCACAGCTGGAGTTCACAGACCAAAATTTAGCCTAGAATTTGTGTCCCTTCTTACTCAGACTCTTGATCATACTAATAGATGTGATGGTTGAAGCCTAACAATTAGCAGGGCTTCGTTTTTCTACAACCCCTTCGTCTTTCAATGCAGAGTGTTGAGAAAATTATTTTGTATTTTTAATGATGATGGGAGGAGATGCTGAAGGAGCCAATGGAAGTCTGGAAATGCCATGAGGATTTTTTTTCTGCATGTTTTTAATGACGTTAGGCCTAATAAAATAAAATCACTCTCAGTTTTCCCATGAAAGTCCCATGTTATGAGAAGTCCTTCAGTCCCCCACACACCATGGTGACTACTTACCCTACGAGTGAGGATCATTGCTCTTTTTTTTTCTTTAAGGATTGGCCATGGGGAGGTTCAAAGTAAATTTTATTTTCAGTTTTAGCTTCTTTTCCTTGTCTCTGTTTTTGACTGCTGACAGCCCTGGAAACTTAAATAGCACTTGCTTTTACCCTGGGTCTGTGAAGGCAGTGTCACAGAGTGGTCACCTTCCTAGTGGAATCAGTTGGCCAGGTGTGAAACCTGGTTACACCACCTACTGGCTCTATCATCTACCACAGAGAAAAGTCACTTCCCTGAGCTTTCTTGTTCCATCTGTTAAATGGGATTGATGAAAGTAATGCCTGTCTCCAAAGGTTGCCGGGGGGGATAAAAGCGTAGGAGTGCCCCGTGGACTCAGGTTTACCTGTTATCATTAATCATTATTTTATTCAATTCTGAGCTTTTGATTCAAATTGTCTCCACCCATATTGAAAATCGGGGATTGTTAATGAAGGAATAAATAAAAGTCACTGGTGAGTTTTGCCCTGTCTTTCTCAAGGAGCCATTATCAGAAGATGCCATGGAGACTTTTCTAGGTGGGATTTTTGGGTGGTTGGGGTCTGCAGGTGTCCTGATGCACAGCCTAGGAGGGTCTCACTTACTTCAATTACTCCCTGAGAGTAGCAGTTCCAAGGGGGGAAGGAATTCTGTCAGCCAAGTGCTCCCTTTTGCCTCAGTGGAATGAATGACAGTGGCCTTCCTCCTCCTGGGGTGGCTCCTTGGAACCCTGTGCCTTGCCTGGTCAGTGTCTCAGGTTCCCCACTGATATCTGTGTTTCAGAAAGTTGATGGTCATGGTCAGGATGGAATGCTTAGGCTGAAGAAGGAAGACACGGTAGGGGGGAATGTGGCGTGAAGTCAGACATTGGTATACAAGTGTGATCATGCCGTTACTGGCTTGGTCAGGTGACGATGGAGAATCAGGATCTCAGTTTTTTTTTAATGAGGTTTAAGACGGTTGTGAATATTAAATGAGATGACGCATATGACGTATAATCATGAAACAGGGCACTTAATGAATTGATGTTGTGATAATATCCTAGGTTTTACTAGCTGGTGAGCATGATATAAGTTTTAATTTTTTCTTTCCAAAATGCTTGGCTGTGTAAACCTGACATGTCCAACGTGTGTTCTTGTTGCACGGTGTAGCAGACATCAGTGTTTGCTGAGCATCGTTGATCAAAAATGAACTTTCAGGGATGCTGAGTGATCATTCCA